TCTGGAAGAGAATAGTGGATTTACAACTCTACTAGGTCTAATGCTAAAGTAACTTTGCGGAGAAAATGCGAAGACCTTTTGAGTAAATCGCATAACACGGCTTCAAGAGCGCACAGAAATACCGCTAACGAACATCAAACAGGTCAAAGGAGGATAAATAATGTGCAAGGAAATTCAAGGCTAACCGTGTTAGGAGGCATGACTCTCCCTGACGTTGCGCGTTCGTTATCAGAATTGGGACCGAGTTTCTCACAATTTGAACCCACTTCTAAGGTAAATTTGCGTGGGGTCACATGTAGTTTACATGAACTTCAAGACAGACTCCACAAAAATGGTAGGGATAAAGCGCTAAATAGGAGCGAAAAACAACAAGTAGGGGCAATACCAGTACCACCATCTTCTCAACAGTTCTTTAGGCAACAAGAGCCCATGAAGCACATGAAGTTAACATTGAATTTCGGGCGTTTACGAATGAAACTTTCAAAGTCTTTGATCACTATCGCGCCAAGAGATACTGTTCCAACCTCACTGAAATGCAAAAACGTGGTATGTTGAGGTACGAGAGCTGATAATATCGAAAAACATAAGTCTATAGGTTTGTGACAAGGGTGGAGAGTTCGTTGTAATTCCCCATCACTTAGATGAAGTGATAACGAAAAAGCACCTTGAAGATGATTCCCTTTATCGTCCGTCGTCTAAAAAGGAATTTAAAAGTCAAAACCGCAACTTAAACAACGAATGGGTTAAAATGGCAAGAAAGACTGGGTTAAACCATCAATTATCTCTCAACTCAAAGTTGAAACGTTTGGCCTAGTAGATTAGTGCATATCAGTATACCCTTCCAGGTACTGAAGAAGGCGATACTGCAGAAACGTCAACAAGTGTTGTATTGTATTGTGTTTTTCTATGGAAGTAAATGTATGCTGTTTAAAAACATCGCGATTGTTGAACAAGAAAACGACCCACTCATATTCCAATGCCGAGGTTAATAAAAAGCCGATTCTGAGAACTATTCAAAGTTTACTTATCAAAATGTCCCGTCCTGTACTTACTTATCAAAACCCATAGGTTAGTGTCCAGCGATGATCACGTCCGATCGTTATTTAAGGTCAGACCTATCATTAGCTGAGTGGACGGGCCAACGGATAGAATAACGTGGTTAATAATCCTATTACTTACCCAGTTGTTGAAGTACATTCGAGCCCATCTAACGAACATCCAAGTGTTCCTGGATCGTCTACGTAACGCGCGACCCAACAGGGCGTACGTGATAGAGTCCTTCGACGTCACCGCCCTCTATACAAACGTGTCGAATGACTCCGCTATGCAAGCCATCTTTGAGTTCCTTATACAACACGAAGGAGCAATAAACATGTAAGGATTCTCGATTCATTCAGCAGTTGATGACACTCTTAAAGGAGTGCCTAAACAGTCTTCAGATGTTCCGGGAGGTATTAAGCACAAATGGGAGGGCTGGAAATGGGACAACAACTGTCACCAAGTCTTGCCATTGCATTCATGTCTACGGAGGAAGCACCAATAATCGACCTCGAGCCGTTACTCTACTGTGGATATATAAATGACTGCCTGGTCATTGTTCAACACAAGAGGAAATTCACATGTTTCGAGTTGTTGAACGAACAGTCAGAGTATATTAAATTCACCCGAGAGAAACCAAAAGAAAACTGGCTTCCATTTCTGAATGTGCAAATTAACCTATCAGAAAATGGCTACATTACGAAATGGTATCGAAAGCCAAGTTGTAGAAACATCTTGGTTCATTACCTTTCCTCTCACCCCCCTCACACGAAAAGGGCGCTTGTAATAAGCATGTTTCGAACAGCTACCAGTATGTGCACTGGAAGGGAGCAGAGAGAGGAGTCCCGGAACTTGGCGCGGCAAATAGCCACTCTTAATGGCTACGAAGCTGTGGCTCGGGATAGGTCTTGACGAAACCACAGGCCCCCAACGATAATTCTAGCGACAATAAGGTCCCGTGCATCCTGCCCTTCATTTCGAATGAAGTAAGTGCAACTATAAAACGCTGTTTAAGAAGGGCCAGTTTAGAGAATTCCGTAACGATAATTGAAGTGCCAACGAATAATCTAAGTCGCCAGCTAGTTCGTAACCGCCTATACGTCCGTCTATGAGCAACTCAGAATTGCATAATTTGCCCCAGTGGTAGAGACGGTGACTGCTTGCGTTCGGGTGCAGTCTGTCTGATCTCTTGTAAAGCGTGCGGGGACGAATACGTTGGCGAAACGGGTAGACCACTCTGCGTCCGTATGAAAGAACACCTAGTCGGGAAAAGTAAACCAAATACTCCACTAGGCACGCATAAGACGCAGAGACATAACGGAGAAGATTTTGTAGTAGGGGTTACCTCGCAGAGGAATAAAGAACACAAGTGCGCAAAACTCTACACGCATTCTGGATTAATTCCAAGAATCCGAAAATGAACCTCAGGGAAGAATACGTCATTATCACGCGTGATATTGAGCAGTATATAAGCCTGTTATTTTGATGAGATGGGAACAATACGATTCTGTCTGAACTCTGTGCGGTTGGTCTCCACGTGACATACTCAGTGGAAGGCTCATAGAAAGCGGTGAGCGTGCAAAGACTCTGAGTTCAATGTGATTGAAATTTTGGTTCAGCATTTTCTCTGTTTGGTTATGGAGATGTTTGGCCGAGTAGATTGCAGTCAACTTGACCTTTCCACGCTCCGAGGAAGGAGAAATCCGCCGAAACGTCAGTTTGTACGGAAATAAAGAAGTAAAACAACACCTCGTCTTTGCAAAACAGAATTAGAAAAAATTATGACGCATTTATTCAGTACTACTCAAAAGAAATAACTCAGTCCTCCTTCAGGACAATTTGAACAGTAGACGTTGAAGGGCTTCGAAATCCTGTCTTATGCAATGTACTACCCAGACCTCGACCCAGTTGTGAACTCAACAACTGAGGAAATAGCTGGGGAAATCTTCAACAACTTGCCATCGCTTTCATGTCTAAGGTGCAAGCTCCAGTTCTCGACCACCAACCCCTACTCTACTATCGATACATAGACGACTGCTTCATCGTCTGTTCCACATAAGAGCAGATGGATGAGTGCTTTGAACTGTTAAATCGACAGTCAGAGTATATAAAATTTACACGAGAAAAACCTACCGAGAACTGGCTTCCATTCTTAAACATCCAAATAAAGCTCTCAGTAAGTGGCTATGTACCAAACGGTGTCGTAAGCCAAGTAGTAAAAACATTCTAGTTCACTGCCTCTCCTCTCATTCTTCACACATGAAAAAAGCACTTATCAAAAATATGTATCGTACGGCTAAAAATGTGTGTAAAGAGAAGAGGAAAGGAAGGAATCGCAAAACCTGGCACGAAAAATTGCCATTTCCAATGGCTACGAAGTAGAAGCCACTCGGGTTAGAGGAAAACATTGGGTAATTCCACAAAATAAAGTTTCGGACGAAAGTAAGATCCCCTTTAAGCTGCCCTTCATAGCAATGAAGTAAGTCACGCCATCAAAAAGTGCTTAAGAAAAAGTGGTCTTGAAAATTGTGTAACGATTATTGACATCCAACCCAATATCCTAGGCCAACAGTTATTTCGAAACCGTCTCTATGATCGTTTGTGCAGCTCAGAAAACTGTATGATTTGTCCTAACGGGAGAGGCGGGGATTGCATGAGTTTAGGTATAATATACTTGATCTCATGTAATGCATGTGGCGAGGAATATATCGAGGAAACGGGTAGACCACGTTGTGTCCACAAAAGAGAACATCTAGATGGGAAAGCTAAAATTCGTCAAAACACTCCTCTAAGTACGCATAGGGTACAAAGCACAACGGCGATGATTTTGAAGCGACTGTGCGGATCCTAGCGCAGGAATCAAAAACATCAAGGCGCAAAACTCTTGAGGCGTTTTGGATAAATTTCAAAAATCCAAAGATGAACCGGAAGGACGAATGCCTCACTATTACGCGTGACCTGGCGCCCTATTTCAAAATGATATTTTGACCACGGGGTGTGTCTTGCTGGCAACCCCACGTGAACTACGTGTGGACAAGTCCCACACGTAACATTACGGTGAGTGGCCTTTCTGATCAATATGGCGTCTAATTGAAAGTTTGATCATCATTAACACTTTGACCTTTCTTTTCCACCGAATAATAAAAATATCCTAATACAAAATACGTCCATGCTCTGAGAAAGGCGAAGTCGCCGAAACGTCAGCCATCGACGAACAACATCAAAAACAACGACAACGAAGGCTTGTACCAACCCCGCGTCAGTTTAAGAAGATCAGTTTATAAGATCACATGGATAAATATATTAACTAAAAATGCTTTATTTAATGTTTTAATACAAAAAATAATTTTTGGACCACATAAAAGCTATAGCGACTTAGTAGTGGTCCATTGGAACAAACATTGCTAATATTTAACTTTTTATTTACTGCTTAAAAATTTTTCACGGCACACTACTACGTGAGATGCAACCACAATGCCGAGACATTTCCAAAACGTGAACCCAAGGCCAGATTCGAACCCGCGATCATTGTTTTCGAAGGTCCACCTGTTACTCACTGCACCACTGAGGCTCATACCTTGATTTTCTCTCAACCAGATCTAGCTAAATCGGGCTAATTTTTTTTTTCTAAACTTTGGAAAGTCAAACAATGGGATTTCGACTACAGCCTCAGCTTAACTGTGTTCAATGCCGATTTGTGCTCCTTAGATCATTCTCGTTAATGGGTGATTGCACTGCTAGATAGGAAATCGACTGAAAGAAAAGCAGAGCGATGGCGTCAGCAGTGCAGTGCGCGAACACGTGATCCACCGGAAAGGGTGATCGCGGGTTCGAATCTGGCGTGGGGTCCAAATTTTGCAAATATCTCAGTATCGTTTTGATAATGCTGATAGATGGCAATAAATGATAATGGATTTACAGCCCATGCTCTTCGGTTGCTGTTCTTGTTTCTATGCTATAAGCTAATCGGAAAGTAATGACCAATCGCCCACCTTCTCAAATCCGCTCGAATCTACAGATCCCTCAGTGGAAGCTTGACCAGTAGAGGCACTGGAAGCTGGGGCCAGAGGCGCCTGTACCAAATATTTTAACTTTTAGTACTTTTCTAACTTTCAAAATTTATTTTATTTTGCAGATATTGAGAAGTAAAACCTACCTTTTCAAATCCACCTGAATCCACAAAGCCATCAGTGGGGGCTTGACCATTGGATGTGCTGGAAGCCGGTGTCCGAGGAGGCGGCTGTAGTAAGTATTTTTTAGCAAAGTGTTTTTCAAACCTCTTATTGCCTATTTTTTACATATAACTAAGACGTTCACAGAAGTTGATTCCATTGTTCATTTTGCTCTATTCATAGAACGAAATACACACAATCATACCTGCAGACTAGCAAAATATGCATTAGGATTATCGAAATTAGCTGGTGGTGGTGGTGCATTAGGAGAAAGATCGGGAGGTGAGTCCATAACGGAGGAGTGCTTGATTCTCGGAAGACCCGAGTGCTCTTAAACAAAGTTGGACTATCAGAAATCTCGAGGAAATGTAGATCAACTAAAACTACATCCGGGTGGAAGAAGGCGTAACGAACACAAAAACTACTTCGAAAAAACAACAGATCGTCAAATTGAGTGTGACATATCTCAAAGAAAAATCAGCAGCATCAAGCTTCCCCTTCACTCTTATTCACTACTGCCATTACCAGAAGTGAAGAATGTAACAAGATACAAAACGAAAAACTACGATTTTCAAAGAAGAAAAGATAATAGTCAAAACCGAAACCAGGAATACTTCTAGGAGTTCTATAAAGTAATAAAGATTTAACATGGATACAATACGATAGTGGACTGGTCCGAAAACGAAGCAGCAAAAATTCCATTGGCCTCAGTGAGTGCCAAGGTTTCCTAGGTCGTGTTTGCTCGTGAGAGAACAAAGTTATATTTGCTGCCTATGGTCTTCACGGAGAAACTCAACCACAACGCATGTTCCCATGACCCTTCATTGAACTCAGTTGCTAATATGAAACACAACCACAAGAATGCTGTGATATAAGCAAAGCTGAGGACCCCAGGTGGGCCTTCAACCTATGATTACTCGTACCCTTGTTGGTCTTGTCCACCCTATCGATTCCGATGTGGACAATTCTCTGATTTCAATCCACCATTAAAGCTTCCGATGTCCTTTGCAAAATGGTCCTGCCGTAGAGATTACTCCAAAATCATAAAAGATGCTCCGATCGTGCCTTCGTTATAGCTTAATGTTGTGGGATACACAATGAAGATTATCAAATCCGGTATTGTTCAACATCTTTCTAGGCAAAAACAGACCTGTCTCACTTCTGTTCTATATGATGGTTTGTTAGTAGCATAATTCTTCTTCAGTGCCATGAACGTTTCATGAAAGTGGCTCTCGTTTATTCGGCCGGATCGGTGACTTTTTAGTTTGCATTCGTGCTTTTCAGATTTAAAACATCAATGAAAGCAAGAATTCAGCATGTGTGAGTTGCACGTACAATTGTCACCATAGTCTCTTCAGGTTCTGTTAGCTTAAGTACGCAGCCGTAACACTATGTCTGCATGAATATAGGCGAATGGTAACTGTAGTAACAAGAATGAGAAGGAAAACTAAGAACCGAACAGTGATAGTGACAACAAAGGCTAAGAGTAGTGTCAAAAACAAAATTAGCAATATTACATGATTCCCATGAGAATATTCTTGTCGAAGTGTTGCGATATAAAGCGCCTGCAGTATAAATTTCTAGGCAAAAACATAAATGGTTCTTGGTTAGACGTAGCCCCACCTGCTGTCAAAATAAGCAGAGCATCTGCCTAGGATCGGGAAATCCGTACATGTGTTTTTTGAGGATAAGAACATTGATCTGATACAGTGGTAGGAATCTGCCTAATGTCAGACTTTTTATGCTCTATCCTTCATAAGAACTTAAAACCGACCAACTTTCTATCAATCACAAAATGAAAGTGTTTTCAATTAACAGATATCAGGTTGGCAAGTCACACGGCGTTTATCAGGCTTTGAAAGGAGTCTTAGTGAAACCAGCTCTTCATGGAATGGACCAGCATAGATACTATTCTTTCAGTTAATAAAGGCCGAATATGCTCAAATGTTGAACGAACAAAGGGTTTTACAACAACCTCACATCATCTTACAATGGAACAATCCACAGAGACAATCATCGAAAGGTTCCAACGCACTTATGAAAAGTTTTCAACTAGGAATGAAAAAAAGAAAAATAAAACCAGCTCTGATGGAAGAATGACAAAGTCAGTTATTTGCTTCGCAGTCCCCGTCAATTTGGTTACAAATGAATTTCTGCAATCTTTCATTTCGTCATTAATGCAGGTAAAACAGTGATATCTAACACAAATTCAGTTGTAGAAGTGATAACCAACTAATCAATGTCGTGGAGAGTTCCATGGTGTTCAACTACTGTCATCATCTAGCCAGGGATTAAAAAAGACATAATGGAAGCTAAAGCAATGTGTAGTGTAGTGACTAAATGCTCCTTACAATGCTCCTGTGGTCGCCGGTTCAAACACGTGTCTTGACCAAACGACGCCTTCCATTCTTTCAGAGTTGGCAAATTCGCACCAGACTTGTCTGGGAAGATAGCAACACTGACTTCATTAGGCAGTAGGCCACTACGAGTCATTGTATAAACCAAAAGACGCTTTATATATTCGATTTCACCGCGCATTTCTAAGGGATTAAAAAACGTCAAATGTTTCGTCCTTTATCCTTTCATTAGAAGAGCAATTAAGACCTTGTTAATTCCTAAGATATTAAATCTAATAGCCGCGCTATCGTTTGTTCAAGTGATGAAATTCATTCCATTAAAATAAGAAAGTGTTAAAACCAATTAAATGAACCAAAAAAGTCACCACTAAATAGAAGCTCGGTTGCTCGGCTTCCATGAAATTTTTATCTATAGACTTTAATAAGGATCTTTAAATCCTAGAAATGGTCCTCAAAAAGCTTCTCAAGTTCCGTCTAACTAAACCCCGAAGAATATTTCTTCATCAGCAACAAACATAACGGTGAAGATATTCTTGTGCAACACCCATTCACTGCTGAGTGATGAGGAATACGTCACGTAGGTAGACGAATCTCACTCGAAAATTCGCGGTAATCAATCTCACTCATTGAGATCCATCCAGCTCACTTGACATGACATTTGAATAGCTGGTCTTCACAAAGAACCCTGACGCTGAGCGCAGCATTGCCATATTACTGACAAGTTTCTGGTCGAGAAGATTTGCTTTCCATGGAGTCTCAGAATAACCCTGCTAGGCTGTTCGATGTCATCATTGCTGACAATTAGTGAGAACTTGTTGCAGAGATGGCAACTTTTGGTATTGATTTGCTCTTAACTGAGCTTCCGAATGGAAATGTCGTCCAGTCACCGAATGAAAGCTGCGTGAATCAAAACATTTCCACTTCCTGTTTGAAAACAAATCAGTTAGAAACGTATTCAGAAACAGTGGAAATGAAAGTGGCTATTGACAACGACCTGAACCACTTATTGATAAAACGAGGAAGAGGGTAGCAGTGAATCGAATCTAGTTAAACAACAACATATTTAGCAAAATCGGATGATATGTAGACAGTTTGCACAAGTTGAACACGAACCCCTGGGGGGGGGGGGGGGTTTTTGGGGNGGGGGGGGGGGGGGTTGTTAGAGGAAGCGGAGCCGGCACATGAAATCGTTGATGGGAGCGCAATTGCGGCTTTTACCGATACGAAAACAACTGGTAAATAAGAGAAATGCCGATCTTGGACGGCCCAGACGCAAACAGCAACAAGGACTACTGGTAGTGGAAGCAGTAAAGCAATGCCATCATAGCCAATCTATTCAGCAGCTATTTATAAGCCCATAAAATATCTGAGCTCTATCAAAATCTTTCATAAAAGGGGCAAAACAGCCCCTCCAAGGCACCTTAGTAACCATTGTCAAGGAATTTTAGTAACAGTTGAATTCGCGGATTTGTAGCAGCCAAAGAAAATATTTTAAATTCGTTCAGAGTAGGATAAACGAAACCGATACCGGTTCGTAGCTGTACGAAGTGAAATTTACAAAGAATTCGTGTTAAAAAGAAAATTTCGGCACCAGGGTTAAGACGAAATTCTCTTGCAGTTTACAAGCAAAGTATCATGCATTACAATAAATGACGTTCAGTCAAAAGGAAACCTATTCAAATGTGACACGTTTGCAGGATGATAACAAAAAGGAAGGATGAATCCTTAGAAATTTATATGAAGATGGTGACGGGGTGTAACTTAGTAATGAAGATTTCCACAGGATGAGAAAAGCTCACAGCTGTTTACCAACAAAACGACCTCTGACCAATACGGCTCCGAAAAGACGAAGACGTCAAAATGTCAGCCGAATAAAAGTTCCACAGTTCATGGGTAGGAGAAAATATTACTCATTATTCATGCTAAGGTTAATTGAAAGCCGGTTTTCAGATTTACTGCTGCGGATGAATTTAGCAGAAACAGAACTGACAAAAGACTGATGTGTTTTAAAACGCAGATGCGACAACGTGAGCTGCAGAATTGTCGCTGCACTTACGATGAAATGTAGTCTTCTTGTGAAACCGTCCAATTCTTTTCGGCAGCGTTCATTTCCATTGCCACAAGTGGCACTGCCGTGCTATTATAAAGGGATAAAAAATAAAGCTTCCGGCGTTGATTAATCTTTGAGAGATGCGGCATGCATTCGACTTCATTGAGCACCGCTAGAGGTGATTGAATGAATATTTCGCTTATACAATGACTTGCGATGGTCTAGTGATGTATTAAGTCAGCGTTGCTATCCTCCCAGACAGGTATAGTAGCAATTTGCCGACCCAGGAGGGATGGAAGGCTTGGTGAGGCTAGGACAGTGGGTCGAATTCATGTGTATTGCAGGGCGCCTCTAACCACTGCGTTACAAGCGTCCCTGTGCTATCATATTATAATGAAATCTCTACAGTATTCACTGTTACATCTTTTTTCTAGTTTTAGCTGCGGCTTTAGATCAAACAAGCGGAGTGGACTTCGTTGCTGCTCTAGACAATGTCGAACTAGCCGATCGTTGTTTGGAAGGAATGGGAAATGAAGAGGAGTACAAAATAACCAATAGGAGGATTTTTGCAGCCTTGAGACAAATGAATTATATCACTGTTGAAGTTTTTCTTTTATGCCACGACCGACTTTCTATTAACCTCGGCATTGTTCAAGTGATTTTGTTCGTATTTTTGTTGAGCAAACGCGAGGTGTTACTGTTCCTTTGTTCACGATTAAGCTGACGTTTCGGCGGATTTCGCCTTCTTCAGAGCCTGGAAAGGTCAAGTTGATAGCAATCTACTCGGCCAGACGCCTCCATAACCAAACAAAGAAACTCCAAACCAAGATTTCAATCACTTTGAACACAGCTTTGCACACTCACCGCTTTCTATGAGGTCTCCAC